ACCATACCAGCCTGACAATGCTTTCCCTGGGAGCAGTAGAACCAGACGGGCTTCTCGTCTGCGACGCGGATGGTGTAGGTGAGGACTTGGCTTGTGGCGGTCAGGGAGGCGTTGGTGGGCATGAAGCCGGAGAAGAAGGCGTCGGTCTTGTTGGACATGATGTTTTGGATGGGGGTGCATGGGTTGTCGAAGGTGGATTGGACGACGGAGTGGTTCTGTTGGGGTATTGTTAGTTGGAGAGATGGAAGTAGGGACTATGATAGGACGTACCTTGGGGTGGAATTGGAACTGGACAAGATCTCCGGGCTGTGCCTTGATGTTGGAGGGAGAGAAGGTCAGGCTTCCGTTGGGACCTCCGACTTGGACTACATGCGTCATGACCATGCCTGCCATCGCGGCTGGCGTAGAGGTCGAGACGCTGCCGAGTACCGCTGAGGAGAGGGTTGGTTCAGTAGCAGAGCCCATGGACATGGACATGGAAGACTCCTGTGCGCACGCGAGGCCGAAGATGGCGGAGACGATGGTTGCTCTTGAGAAGTACATGTTGACTAGTGTATGTGGTGTTCGTTTGCGTAAAGGCGAATTTGGTATTAAGTATGCGATTCGTATTGCGATGCTCGTCTCGTCAAGAGAGTGGATGGGCGGCTAGCGCTTTGGGTCGTGAAAAGTAGCAAGCTGGACTAGCCAGTTGTATATTAAAGATTGTGAAGAGGTAAGTAAAGAAAGATAGATGCAAAGGAAAATGCAACACAAAGTGACAAGAAACGTGGGATGCAGAGATGAAGAAAAGAGAGCCTGAGGTGACGGCTATAGGGCCATCTTAAGGCATGAAAGATTTGCATGCGTGGCTAGGGCGGTTACTAGCTATTCCGATACATGGGGTTGGTGTTGCGACACGTTAGAGGCGAGAACTGCTTCAGCCTCCTGGTTCGGCTGAGGACCCTGTAAATGAGGCTTAAAACGGGTATATTTGTCTATAGCTTGCAGCGCGAACATCATCGCTGTGAGATGACTGCAACATTTGAAAAGCACGCAAGGGATAGTCGAAGATAACGCAGTGCAGTGCGGTGCAAAGCAAAAAACAGATGCTTTTTCTAGTGTCGCGTTGACGATATCGCAATATTGGTGTTCGTCGAGATGCAGCTAGGTGTTGAGGGTGCGACGCGCTCCACGTTCCGGGTGTGTTTGAGCCGAACCCCATGATGCTTCAGACCACGCGCGGCAACGGCAATCTCAAGGCCGATCAAGCCAGGCAGCCGGAAGATCTGTTTGCGAGATTGTGCATTACATGTCGGTCAGGCTGTGCAGTAGGAGTAACAGTCACCGACAAGATCTTGGAAGCCAGGCGTCATGTGGTCATGTTTCAAACATGCCAGGCCGACGTGTCCTTCATTTGTTCATAGGTGTTTTCGGCCTGACTTCTGAAGAGTAGTTCGTTCTGAAAACGACAGATGAGTACATGTCCATGTTTCGGCCTTTTGGCATCTCCACGTCTTACTGCCACGAGCCTTGGCCGTGGGCCGAACACCCGTCTTCGCTCGTAATGACTTGTGGTGTTCCAAAAATACCCTCACAGTTCTGTCATCCAAGGATAGGCTGCGAGGAGCGCATGTATGGTGCGGCGCAGTCCTCGAGATCAGCGCTATGGTCGGTGTGAAGCTTCCCGTTGGTTGTCGCCTGGAGCTACATGCTAACCCCATATCCAAATAAGCCTGCATATATCCAGATAGTAGCTAGTCGTCCTTCTCATCTCGTCGCTGGTCTGCGCTGGATTTTCGTGTCTTCGCGTGTACAGCACTCTCAGAAGTCGAGCACAAGTTGAGGTGCCAGCTTCTCCAGATCTTCCACCTGGAGGAAACCATCGATGCTACCGCCATCCTTTGCCGCTGCCTTCATCTCGTCCTGGCTTCTGAGGAAAGCTTCCGTGACAAAGATGTCAATGTACTTGCCCACCAGCTTCATCGCACCTGTTTGTATTTGTATGTTCGGGTCTTCGAAGTTCTCTAGAAGTAGGCGTGCGAGGAGCGCTCGGGAAATAGCGGGTTCGTCGAGGGCGGCGGCTGCTGGCGGTGGATTAGCAGTGGGTGCATCGTCCATGATGTCGTCAAAGTCGGAGATATTCAGATCCTCCGCTAGCTCGTCGTCCTGATCATCGTCGGATAGATCGATTACTTCAGCGGCTGGTGTGAAGGCAGTCTTCGAGGGCCCCACGTTGCTCTTCTTTGCGGCACCTGTCGCGCGGGATGCCGCCGCTGGGGCGCGTTTCGTCGCGGTGGATGCTTGAGAAGGCGCACCCACGGGTCTTGGTGGGTTGAAAGACGGGCCTTTCCGGCGCGCGGCATTCGCTGTCGCATTTTTAGGTGGCATTGCGAGGTAGAGTGGAGCCTGATTTGTGTTGCGGACGGTCAATGGAAGTCACAAAATGTGGAGTGAGGCAGCGCTTGGTGTTGGTAATGGTGCCCGCGCGATCCACCCGTGGACAACACGCTGCGCGCTCTCACGTGTACGTCATAAAATACAACAACAACACTCCCGAGGTCTGATACCGACGTCTGTAGCATTTGTTCGCTTCCATGACCCCAAAAGGCTTCGAAGTTCATCCTCAGGCCACAAATCAAGGCGCCCCATCTCATATGTGGCCATTCGTTCGGTATTGCGCACCGTCCTCGGTGCTGCACAGCCTTTGGAATGGGCGCCTTATGTTGGTTCATCACATCTTCCAATTTTCCGCTATGCTACACCGCCACGGGAATGTACACCGTCACAGCCGAAATCTCTCTGGAAACTGTCTCTGGTTGCCAAGCCAAACTACTTCAACCGACCGTTGAGCAGGTGTAAGAAACAACGTTATACGATCACGGAGAACACAGACCATCCTTCCTTCGTTTACGCGCCACAAGCCCACCCCAAAAGCTTGACATTTCGTCGCAAGTCCAGAAGACGGGCCGCACGGTGGCGCCGTTCATTTCGTATTGATAATTACGGTACCTTGCGTAGTGTCCGCATTGGATCGAACTCTCACTATGGGGTATGTAGACTAATGAAGTCGGTGTAATCGTGACTTGGTAATGGTGTGAGGAGGCGGCTTCAGCGAGACAAAGAGAGAGGCCAGCCGTTGGACTAGGTATCTATTCGAGAGGCTGAGAGCCAATTGTGGGGAAATGAGATCGAGGTGCTACTATGCGACCGGTAGGGTACGTCGTTACACGGCGTTGGCAGCAGACATTTCGAAAGGGTCTTGACATGCAGAGCGCCTGACACATAGTACATATATAGAGCTGTGCCACGAACAAAGAGGATTTTTTAAAGCCAGGGGGGGTTTCTGCGCACTGCGTTCCGATTGGTGCTGGTTCACCATGGATTGGGATAGTCATTTCGGGAGAAGTCGAGGCGCAGCGAACATGGTAGGAGCAAAGTTGGGCGGTTGGCTATCTCCCAACTCCTTACGCAGACGTGGCAGAGAAGGAGCAATAGCTTGAGTCGTTATCGAGGTACGGTCCATTGAATATAAGTGGAGATTGCTAGGTCCCGTCGCTTTGGGGTCGAGACTGGGACAAACAAGAACTAGTACCTGCATCAGCTGTTTATCTCCCGCTCCTTTGCACACAAATTATTTGGGTACCCATGATGCGTGGAAGTGATTGAAGGATGAATGCCGGTGGCTGTCTCAGTGATTGGGTTGTGACGCGTGCAGTGTCGTGCCTTTCTGCATCTGGAAGGCATATGCACATCAGTGACCATGTCGGTGTTGGTGTCTGGTATGGCTTCGCTCGGCAGCGCGCCGAACTGCGGAGATGGAATGTGGCCACGACATGTGCCAGTGATCGCCGATGCTGTGCGAGCAAGGCGGCTCCAGGTAGAGTAGCGGATGCTGCTTCTTCCCGCCCGCGTACCTCCTGACGAAAGAGTGCAGGCAGACCAGAGACATGGCACGAGAGGCGCGGCCGTCGAACAGAGGTCGAGACTCCGGAGCGAGCGTCCTAGAAGAGCGGCTCCAGGCTAGGCTGAGTTTGGCGGGGTAGGAGGAGTGGCCGGCGACGGGGTTAGTGCGCGGGCTAGGAGCCAGCGTCAAACCTCGATTGAGTGGACCAGAGTGGTGTTGCGTTGTCGCTGAGATTGTGGCCAACGTCCTGGACCAGGGGGGACGGGGTTGCCCTTTCCCTTGTGGGCGATGCTATTTTCAACTGGCAGTCGCAGCGAGGGGTGAGGAAAGCGCGGTCGGCACAGCTGGCAGGTGCGGGTGGTGGCGCGCCTGGAGCAGCAAACATGGCTTTCCTGAGAGCTGAGGGCTCGCTGGCGTCGCCGACACTTGACGCATCGCCAGATAAGGATGCAGCGCACAGCCGTCTTCAGCCAGGCCTCATGTCAGATACCCAGTCCGATCGTGTGCAGGCGCCCAAAACTGCATGGCGGGCGGCTGGCCCGTGTGCAGGTGATGCTGCAACTTGAGGCCGCACCCCTGTCGCTCTACCCGAGATGCTTGAGGCTTGGTGCTGCTTGGTGCTCAAGTGCACTGGCATGCGGCGACTATGGGAATATATCATACAGTGGTTCGCCGTGCTCTGCCCAGGGCCCATCTCCTGCATCTCTCCGACCAGCGCCTTCCTTTTGCAACTGCGGGGTGTTTGCTCAGTCGTCATCCATTCCTCAACCCTGGACTGCTACCGCCCATCACTTGCATCCTGCCGCACCATCTTCCACCACACCGTCAATCGATACACGGACTCCCCACGGACTCTCTCCCAGTTTCCGTTTCCTCCAGGCCGCTGATAACCAAACGCCACCGCGTCTCATTCCGGACCTCGTCTCACATTGCAAGATAGAGAAGCGCGCCGGGATCTGCGCTCTTGCATGTGCACCAACGCCTTTATCCATATCTAGGCAAATCCCATACCAGACAGATAACCCTGGTCGTTACTCTTATATCCTCAATTCCCCATCGTTTTCTCTCCTCTATGATGCCCCATTCGGTCAACAACTCTACCTCGACCCAAGCCAAGATGTCACGCCCATCGTCCACCTCGACCTACTCCGGCAACAATGCATTTCCCCAACAGGCAGGCACCACCCTCCTCTCGCCGGAGAAAGCCAATGGACAGCTCTCACCCGCGCACTCTCAGTTCTCTTTTGCATCGTCGCCCCAGTCGGTCCAGGACATCGAGCACGACTCCCGGAACCGCGCTCCGAGTGCCGCCGCGGATGAAGTAGGTCCCCTGCGGCCCATGACTTCGCGCTCGCGTGCACAGTTCTACGAGGATCAATTCTCCTACAAGGACGGCATGGCGTCGTCGGCTCGCGACCGTGTGACCAAGGATGCCCCCATTGTAGCCGAGCTGCGGACAAACGTTATCGTAAGTTGTTATTCTGCCGAGCTCCACTCTTTTGGCAAATCACTAACCCAGCGTAGATCAAAGACGAATACACCCTGGTCACCGACCTCTCGCACCACCTCTCGACGCGCTATCAGAGGCCAGAAGCCTCCATCATGATAACGGTCAACCACTCAGCATGCCTGCTCCTCGGTGGTTCGTTTGAGCCCACATACATGCTCACCATTAACGCTCTGCCTGTACAACTGCAACCCACGACCAACAAACGTAATGCCGCCCTGATTCAGACGTTCATGGCTGAGTCAATCGGCGTTGCGCCGGAGCGTGGCGTAGTCAAATTCGTACCCATCCCCGAAGAGAGCCTTGCCATGAACGGCATGACTATCCTCGGCGAAATTGAGCGCTTGGAGCGACAGCAAGCCGAGGAGACTGGTAGCAACATCAAGCGTGCCATGACCAAGAGCTCGCGCAGATCTGGTGTCTTCAAAGCAAAGAGTACCATGCAGCTGTCTCGTGGTCTATCCAAGGCTGACCATGGCGCAAGACCAGTCGTCACCACTGAGGTTTCTCACGACGCATCCCGCGATTCCGGAGTAGCTGTCAACGAGAAGATTGACGACAGCAGAATCGTCAACAAGAAGTCTGAACCCATACTCTCCAAGTTCGGCAAGAGGTCCGCGTCTGCCGCGCACCCAGCGCCGCCTCCTATCCCTGCCGACAGGCCTATGACTTCAGGAATGACCAAACGCAAGAGCTTCATGAGCGTCTTCCGCAAATGATCATCTACGAGCATCCGCTACATTGACAGCATTGTCTAGCAGTCATTCTCTAATCAGCAAACGAAGACCTAGCATTCACCACATCGATTTTCAACGGCGTTCCACAAGGCACATGAAACCACTCTCTAGACCGAGTCGGCAACACAGACTCACCTGCTGTACTCCACCATCACGGCATCTGTCAGATTCTGCATACGGCGCTACACATGGGCATGGTCGAGTCGCAGAGTGCGACAAAATTGCATTACCAGGCGTTTGGGGTGCAACACATCACATGCTGTTCATACGAATATACCCTTTTGCATTTCCTTTGTCGCAAAGCTCCAGTGAGCATTTGGGCTACATAGAATCATTAATGACACATCACTGCCTCAGCACATCGAAATTCTTCTCAGTTTCTCACACATGCTGCTGATCTGCACTTCGCCAAGGAAGCACCTGCGCTTCACTCACCGCAATGGTGCCGTCTCCCGTGCCGTGAGCGCAATCGCAGACCCACGAGCCTGGATGCACGCTCGACTACGCCATTGGGATCTTCATTCAATCCAGATCCTCACAGATCTTTGCCATTTCAGAGTTGTCTCGGGTACGCAAGCCCCATCTCAGATCGACAAACTTGCCGGGCGGTCACTAACAGAGAGAAGGGCCGGACGTTCACCTGCCGCGTGGCTAGACCAGAGACTACCAGACCGCCCGTGCTTGTCGAACGAAATTCAAGCCGGCGACAACTTCACGCACTTGGTTCAAACCTCAGTCTTACGGCGTACCCCGATGTCCGTTTCCGCACTTCAACGCACCCATGTCTCAGCCCAGCGTCAGCAAACAAAGCCCACGTAGAAGCCCATCAATGCCGCCAGCCTATCATCGAGACATGTATGCATCCTCCAGCCAGATAAGCGAACACCACCAGCGCCCATCGCTGTCACCGACTAAGCATGACTGACCCGAAAACACTGGACATGCGCAGGACATCCACGTTAGCCGCCTGCCGCCCATTCTGCATTCTGCATTTTACTTTTTTCAGCTCTCCACGATTTACTAGCAAGTGGATCTAGATGCGCCACAGCAATCGCTGGTGTCGGAGAGATGTAGCGTGGCGACTAGCGCGGTGCGGGAAGGCTAACGTGTAGCTTCGGGCGGATAGAATGGTTATGGCCATGTCACGATTGTTTCTTCAGCTTGTGGGAAAATTGTGGCGCTGGTCCAGCCCTACGATGTCGGTAGAAGGTTTTTGCTTTCTAAGGGCTAAGAGCGGTAGTCTGATATTCCACGAGGGTGTTGGAGTGGAGATGGTGGTGTTGTGCCACGTTTTCATGGACTGGGCTCGGCTAGTTTCGATGCGAGGGTTATGGCGTGTATGCGAGAGTGATTGTGCATGTCTGGAAAAGAAGGGTCTGACCGGTTGAAACTCGTGCGGAGATACGCTATGGTAGACATGGGGAACCAGGAAGCGAGAAAGTCTGCGGACAGTAAGCATGATGCTGGATACGAAGTTTGCTATCAGGCGCCTTGACAGTGGAAGATCCTCGCAAGGTTTTGGGCGATCAGTGATCAGCAAACTGCGCAACTTTGCGCATCGCATTGGTATCTCGCCCAACACCCACGTTGATCCTAGATCCGCATGTATTCGTCGTCTTTATTTTGTTCATTTACTTGCAACATCGTCCTTGTTGGCTAAGGACATGGATTCTGAGTTTCTCAATTTGCAGGATGATTTACCCGCATCCTGCACGAATGGAATTGTTGTCTTCACAGCCAATCAGCATCCTGGCACCTTTCTTTGAGTTACCTTCCTTCGACGGAGGAAGTTTGCGCTGCTGTAGCTTGGCAAGGCGTGCATTGCGCAAATCACTCAAGCGAGAGCTTGGTTGAAGTTGGGACATGCGCGACGGAATGATGCAGATAAGACGAAAGGGATCAGCAGTGAACTGCGTAGGCCAAGAGTACACCGTTGTATACATACAATAGTTCATCATGATCGCGCGATTGCCGGTAGAGTGCGCCAGAAAGTTTATTAGAACGGTGGGAGCTGTGCGCGATGGATCCAAGATCTATGTGTTCGTTACGGGCGATCTTTCTGTGGATGTTTGGGGGGAGTGACGTCATACGTCGTGGTGAAGCTTGTACCGGCGCTATCTTTGTTGCTTTTGATCGTCAACCACGATTACGAGGTGTAGTCTAATAACCGCGAGCCTTTGTAGATTTCCCGGGGGTGAGGTGAGGTTCTGCGAGGATGGAGATGGGGATGCGGAAGTGGTGAGAAAGGATGGGACGATGCCCATGTCGCATTTGTTACATCAGCAAAAGCGTCAACTGTCTCACTCTCATTTCGCACACGCACGTTCTCTACCTCTACATCCACACATCCCCATCAGTCCACCCACGACCACCTCCCCGAAAACCCCCCAACAAGCTCATTCGTAAACTCCGGAATCGTCCCAAGCAGCAAACTCCCCCTTCTCTCACAATCCTCATCAACCGCACGCTTCATCCCACAAAGAGCCCCATGCGCCAGCTTCATACCCTTCGCCTGCAATAACTCCACAACCGCCGCCTTACTCTCCTCCATCCGCATCTTAGCCATCGCCTCCAGCTTCTTCAGCAAGAAATTCTTGGTCTTGTAGCGCTCACGGGCCGTCGCGCCTTGCATGAGGCGACGGTATAGTACGAGCCATCCGTGCAACGGTAGCCAGGGTTCTAGGTCGTTGGATGCGTTGGAGATGCCGGAGATGAGGGTGCTGACTTCTTTTTGCCAGTCTGAGGGGCTGGAGTGGTACCAGCGGTATTTTACTTTGAGGAGCCGGATTGAGCGCGCGTATTCTGTGGAGAAGTGGACGAGGATGTCGGTTTCTGGTGTGGGGATGGGAATGGGGCAGCGAATTAGGTCGGCTTTGCAGATTTCGGGGGTGAAGGGGTCGACGGAGTATGTGAAGGATTCGTTGGGGGCGGTGTTGGTTTGGGTGTCTTCTTCGGCTGCGCCGTTGTGTGCTTTGTTCCATGCGTCGACTTCTTTCAGCATCTCTGCCCATTTTTCGTCGGAGGGGTTGTTCAAATCATCGAAGGGGAAATCAGGGAAGTCCGATGGGAGAAGCGCGCTGAAGTCAATATCAAAATCCGAGAGAGAGTCGGCATCGTCTGCGTACTCCTCGGGCTGTGCGGTCTGCTCGTCATCCGCGAAACCTGTAGCTGTCAAGGAGTCGCTGTGAACTGACCTGTCTGAAGCATGAAGGCTTTCGGGTTGCTGTTCGTCCAGCTCAGCTGAGATCGGACTGGCTTCCGAATCAGCGTCTACGTCCATGTTTGTCCACTTGTTCGAAGGGGAAGGAGTGCTTACCTCCATACGCTCTAGCTGCATAGCTGTCAGCATGTCTGCCATTATGACATCCTCACCGGCTTGTCGCTCCTCCAAGGAGGGGATAGACAGCTCGTATTCTGAAGAAAGACCGGTAGGTGTAGAGGCGGGTTGCATGGAGGCAGAGGTTTCGAGTGGCATAGCATCGATGGATCCGTGCATCATCGCAGGCGCTGGGTGTATGACCTTATCTTCCTCCGTCTTGTTTCTTCCGTGAGAGTCTTGGTGGGTCTGGTCTGTTGCATGAATATTGGGAACGGACATCTTGTACAGGTGTGCGTCTTGAGATCTTGTTTGGCTGTGTTGTACGGGTTTTCTCTGTTGTTCATTACAACCCAACACAGGCAGATTCTGGTGTAAGTGGTGTAAGGTCTGCATAGTGAAGGTAGTGTGAATCAAGAGAGTTTCACAGTGCAAGAAACGCTTTTTAGTGAGGACACGCGGTGACGACGATGTTTAATCACGCCAGAAGTACAGTGCCCTGAGTTGATAGATGCTCTAACTTGGCCGCAAAGCTTGACGGAAGGCCGAGATAGGGGATTTGGTCCGCAGTCAAGATTTTGACTAGATTATAGATATGCTTCGCCAGCCTCCTTGTTTCTCCCTCTTGTCCTGTGCCCGCTCCATAATCCAGATCTCACCACAGGGATCCGTGCTGCAGGATTGCCAGTAACTCGCAACTGATACTAGTATGTAGCCATACTTGTCTTGGGGACGTAATATTAGCGGCGATCTGCAGCCCCTCAGAACCCATATCTCGTCGTCTTTATGAGAGCTATGGGAGCAACTAAGCACAAAGCTTTTGCAAGATATATACAAGCGCTCGTCCGATCTTAGTCTTTCCGAACCTTTGTCTAATCTGTCGATTAAAACACCATCAACTTCTAAGGCCTGCAAAGTTCCGCGAGCCGTTTCGACAGTATGAAACGAGGCATTTGCTTCAGTTTGCTTCAGCGCATTGTCGTATAGCTTCTCTGAGGCCAAAGGGTCTTGCTTGCACCTCCAATCTGCCACCCAAGATGGCAGATTGGTGGTATGTTGTATTTCGGAAGCTGCAGCGTGCCACAAAATATCCAAGCTATTCTCTGTCTCTATGATCTTGATAGTCGTATTGATTAGAACTTGATCGATAGGATGAGAATAGTTCGGTACAATGCCATAGGCTGGATTGATTAGACCGATGTAGGCAAATATTTTGTCTCTGGGATCTGAAGTGTCGCGATTGCGGGAATGCGACAGGAGTTCCTTAAAGTCCTGGTTCTGAAGCGAGTGGGCCTTGCTATCTATCGTGAATATCGCTTCCTCCATGCTTACCATTAAACCGCCTTGCTGAGTGTTCCCAAGTCGATGCCTATCGCGTTGTTCTGAAATTCTAGGAAGCTGGCGTCGGAAGCCACCGGCGGTCTGGAGAATTCTGAGTCTGAACGTGGAATAGATTGCTCTCCACACTGGAAGGATGGCTTGTCAGGATGCAAAGACTCCACTATACATGAAGTACACGTCTGCTGCGACAATGAATTCCTGGAGAACCCAAGCTCTTGTTAACCAAGGAGCTTCAAAGATCTCAAAGGAAGCAGACCACCCCTTCATGAATTCTAAGTTCCCCAAATTTTCGCAAACGTAATCTGCGATCAAAGATTGGTGATTG